TTCTCGCAGTCGCAGTCGCATTCGCGATGACAGTCGCAGTGGCAACGGCAGTCACAGTCACAGCCTCAGCCTCAGCCTGCCTCAGTCATCAGCCTGCCTCAGCCTCAGCCTCAGCCTGCCTCAGCCTCAGCCTCAGCCTGTCAGCCTCAGCCTCAGCCTCAGCCTGCCTTCAGCCTCTGGCCTCAGCCTCAGCCTCAGCCTCAGCCTCAGCCTGCCTCAGCCTCAGCCTCAGCCTGCTTCAGCCTCAGCCTCAGTCTGCCTTCAGCCTCAGCCTCAGCCTGCCTCAGCCTCAGCCTGCATCAGCCTCAGCCTCAGCCTCAGCCTGCCTCAGCATCAGCCTCAGCCTCAGCCTCAGCCTCAGCCTCAGCCTCAGCCTCAGCCTCAGCCTCAGCCTCAGCCTCAGCCTCACAGCCTCAGCCTCAGCCTCAGCCTCAGCCTCAGCCTCAGCCTCAGCCTCAGCCTCAGCCTCAGCCTGCCTCAGCCTCAGCCTGCCTCAGCCTCAGCCTCAGCCTCAGCCTCAGCCTCAGCCTCAGCCTCAGCCTCAGCCTCAGCCTGCCTCAGCGTCTGCCTCAGCCTCAGCCTCAGCCTCAGCCTCAGCCTCAGCCTGCCTCAGCCTGCCTCAGCCTCAGCCTGCCTCAGCCTCAGCCTGCCTCAGCCTCAGCCTCAGTCTGCCTCAGTATCAGCTTGCCTAAGCCTCAGCCTCAGCCTGCCTCAGCCTCAGCCTCAGCCTGCTTCAGCTTCAGCCTCAACCTTAGCCTCAGCCTCAACCTTTTCCTCAGCCTCAGCCTCAGCCTGCATCAGCCTCAGCCTCAGCCTCAGCCTGCCTCAGCATCAGCCTGCCTCAGCGTCTGCCTCAGCCTGCCTCAGCCTCAGCCTCAGCCCTCAGCCTCAGCCTCACCTCAGCCTCAGCCTCAGCCTGCCTCAGCCTCAGCCTGCCTCAGCCTCAGTTGGCTACGGGCATTCAAAATGTGGCCCGGGAATGGAGTTCTGGGAACTCGAAGAGCACGAAGTGGCCTACAGTTGGCTCCGGGCATTCAAAATGTGGCCCGGGAATGGAGTTCTGGGAACTCGAAGAGCACGAAGTGGCCTACAGTTGGCTCCGGGCATTCAAAATGTGGCCCGGGAATGGAGTTCTGGGACTCGAAGACCACGAAGTGGCCTACAGTTGGCTCCGGGCATTCAAAATGTGGCCCGGGAATGGAGTTCTGGGAAATCGAAGAGCACGAAGTGGCCTACAGTTGGCTCCGGGCATTCAGAATGTGGCCCGGGAATGGAGTTCTGGGAGGTCGAAGAGCACGAAGTGTGTGACTGCTGGCTTAAAACAACTTCTGCGGCACCCTGTCCGGCACCCGCCCAGACCCCCCTGTGGAGTCATCTGCTGCTCTCTTTTTAGCCCATTAGAAACCTATCAGTCTTTGCTGTTAGGTAATAAACACCCCCTCCCCCAGGCGACTGGGGGCCAACCGCGGTCCATGCCGACCCCCCCCAAACCATCCTTTGTAAAAACCAATATATTATCCCGGCAAAGCAACCTAACAGCCATGTGTAGGAGCATCTCTGGGTCCTCCTGCTCGTCCTCGTGCTCCTCCTGCTCGTCCTCTTTCTCCTGCTCCTCCTCCTCCTCCTCCTCCTCTTTCTCCTGCTCCTCCTCCTCCTCCTCCTCCTCTTCCTCCTGCTCGTCCTCGTTCTCGTCCTCCTCGTCTTGCTCGTCCTCCTCCTCCTGGTGCTCCTCCTCCTCCTCCTCCTCCTCCTCCTCCTCCTCCTCCTCCTCCTCCTCCTCCTCCTCCTGGTGGTCCTCGTTCTCCTCCTCCTGGTGCTCTCCCCCCCCTCCTCCTCCTCGTCCTCCTCCTCCTCCTCCTCCTCGTCCTCCTCCTCCTCTCCTCCTCCTCCTCCTCCTCCTCCTCCTCCTCCTGGTAGTCCTCCCCCTCCCCTCCTCCTCCTCCTCCTCCTCTTCCTGGTCGTCCTCGTTCTCGTCCTCCTCGTCTTGCTCGTCCTCCTCCTCCTGGTGTTCTCTTCCTCCTCCTCCTCCTCCTCCTCCTCCTCCTCCTCCTCCTCCTGCTGGTCCTCGTTCTCCTCCTCTGGTGCTCTCCCCCCCCTCCTCCTCCTTTTCGTCCTCCTCCTCCTCCTCCTCCTCCTCCTCCTCCTCCTCCTCCTCTCTCATCCTCCTCCTCCTCCTCTCCTCCTCCTCCTCCTCCTCCTCCTCCTCTCCTCCTCCTCCTCCTCCTCCTCCTCCTCCTCCTCCTCCTCCTCCTCCTCCTCCTCCTCCTCCTGGTAGTCCTCCCCCTCCCCTCCTCCTCCTCCTCCTCCTCTTCCTGGTCGTCCTCCTCCTCCTGGTCGTCCTCCTCCTCCTGCTCGTCCTCCTCCTCCTCCTGCTCGTCCTTCTTCTCCTGCTCCTCCTGCTCCTCGTCCTGCTCCTGCTCGTCCTCGTCCTCCTGGTCTTGCTCGTCCTCCTCCTCGTCGTGCTCTTGCCCCTGCTGAAAATGTGGCCCAGGAATGGGAGTTCTGGGAAGTCGAAGAGCACGAAGTTGCCTACAGTTGGCTACGGGCATTCAAAATGTGGCCCGGGAATGGAGTTCTGGGAACTCGAAGAGCACGAAGTGGCCTAGAGTTGGCTCCGGGCATTCAAAATGTGGCCCGGGAATGGAGTTCTGGGAACTCGAAGAGCACGAAGTGGCCTACAGTTGGCTCCGGGCATTCAAAATGTGGCCCGGGAATGGAGTTCTGGGGAACTCGAAGAGCACGAAGTGGCCTACAGTTGGCTCCGGGCATTCAAAATGTGGCCCGGGAATGGAGTTCTGGGAAGTCGAAGAGCACGAAGTGGCCTACAGTTGGCTCCGGGCATTCAGAATGTGGCCCGGGAATGGAGTTCTGGGAGGTCGAAGAGCACGAAGTGTGTGACTGTTGGCTTAAAACAATTTCTGCGGCACCCTGTCCGGCACCCGCCCAGACCCCCCTGCGGAGTGATCTGTGAGCTCTTTTGAGACCACTAGAAACCTATCAGTCTACGCTGTTAGGTAATAATACACACTCTGCCTCCAAATTCGGAACATGCGCAACCAACCTCGATGCGACCTCCCCCCACCATCCCTGCCAAAAAACAGTACAGGGTACACTTGGCGGCGGCGGCGGCGGCTGCGGCGGCGGCTGCGGCGGCGGCTGCGGCGGCTGCGGCGGCGGCGGCGGCGGCGGCGGCGGTGGCGGCAGCGGCACAAGCGGCGGCGGCGGCGGCAGTTTGGCAGCGGGGGGCGGCAGCGGCGGCGGCGGCGGCGGCTGCGGCGGCTGCGGCGGCGGTAGCGGCAGAATACACTTGGCGGCGGCGGCGGCTACTGCGGCTGCGGCGGCGGCGGCGGCGGCTGCGGCGGCTGCGGCGGCGGCGGCGGCGGCGGCGGCGGCGGCGGCGGCGGTGGCGGCAGCGGCTGCGGCGGCGGCGGCGGCTTGGCAGCGGGGGGCGGCGGCGGCAGCGGCGGCGGAGACGGCGGCGGCGGCGGCGGATTGGCCCCCAGTAGCTGCCCATCCCAAGACGACTGCTGAATATGCTGAGGCTCGGGCCAGACTCGGGTGCTACGTATGTGTTGGGAAGGCGGGTGGGAATGAGCGAGACGGCTTGCGGGCGGGGAGGGGGTAACTCGACCCCTCCCCCAACCCCTCCCCTGGGCCTGGAGGGGGCGTTCCGCGGGTCGCCAGAGCGTCCAAAACGGCCTCGGCAAAG